AAAAAAAAAAAAATACTGACTAATAGAAGCATCTATATAGTAGTATTTTTAACACTTATGTATTTTTCTTAATTAAACACGTTAAAATGTTTGAATATGGGTGTTTTTCTTTCCTTAAAGTTGGAATTTTTTTCCTGTCATTGTTATGGTTGGATTCAAGGAGAAACATGAGGCTTCATTGGTCATTGTTAACCAGAAGTCTGCATTTACATCTTTGCATATTTTATTCCAAAGAAATAATGTTATATGTGGCAACATTTCGAAGTTAACATGATTTATTGAAAAGAGTGTGAAAATGTAGATTAATTTGCACTTTTGTAAATAGTTGCTTTTTTGAGTATTGAGTATAGTTTTAACTGTACACATATTATGTGCATTTAGAGATTTAAACATTAAAATAGTACCACTTTTGATAGATACAATGTCTTTTCAAACATAGTAGCATAAGTTTTAAGCTTTCTGTGAAAAAGGAAACTGATTTTATCCCCACTGTGACTAAGCAGTGGTATGATTTGATCTAAGTTGCATAATACGGGGTTGATTTGATCTAAAATACTTTGATTCCTACTACTGCTACTACTGTTATTACTTATTACTTTGATGGTGATGATAATAATGTAGTAGCAGCAATATTTATTAGGTCAAGTACGTAGCATAGTGCTATTTCATATTACTAAGAGGCATTTTTAATGGTGTCGTCATACATTTTTTTCTCATTAATATTACACATTATAGTCATAAATAGTTAAACAGTGCTGTAGGCAAAGTGTTAGAGACAAAGCTTTGATTTGGTGAAAGGCATTGTTCCCATTTCTTTGATCTTCCTTCACCTATGTTGAATGAAGACAAATGTACCCTACTGTGGGTATCATCAGTAACTGCTTCCTTTAGCTAACGTACTAGCGGTGTGACTTTGGGATAGTTAATACATGTCTTTCAGCCTGTTCGGTTCCTTACAGTAGAGTGGACACATTATTGCTTATTTTGTAGAATTTTAGGGTGAAATGAGAATATGTATATAAACAACCTGAGACCTGAGTGTATATATGTATATATGTATGAGAATATGTATATAAACACCTGAGGCACTCAAAGTGATCAACTTTAATTTTACCCAATTACAGCAATAAAACTCATTGGGATTGGAGGAAAGGGCATGTTCTCTATAGAAGCTTGTCAGTTTTTCTGAGTGGGTTTTTTTTTTTAAACCGTGTGTAATTTTCCTCAAATGGATATTCTTCTCCCCCACCCCCCATTTTTCTTTCCTCTCCCCTCAGTTGTTCAACCACTGCTTTGTCAAAACAACTTTTTCTGATAGGAGATTGTTAATGTTGGGGTGGTATAGAAGAAAGCTTGAGAACTTTTGCTATAAGTAGTAGTTCCTGGCTCAGTGCGTATCAGATTACTTGGGGATCTTTAAGTAGATAAAGTGGCTTGAACTACTGTATAGAATTTTTTTTTTTTTT